AGATTTCCATTCAAACAAAACTAACCTGCAGCCTTTCCACCTGCCGGTTTTGCGCTGAAATTTAAAATGCATTTTTAATTTTCAAGAAAGATTGATAATGAAAAATTCAAAAAAACAACGGAATTCAAATACTCACGGTCCAAACTCTGGCATAGCAGCGCTATGAATATAAAAAGAAAATTTGATCAAATCAAGTTTTTTTATTTCGAGAGAGTCATACTCACTGCATTGAACCGGTAAACCCATTCCCAACTGGGCCGTATCCGGAATGCATAAATTTTTTTATAACGTCCAGCATATTTTTCATGCCGCTCGCGAAACCAGGATCGTTGCTCCAGTCACCATAAGTGCTACTCACCATTTGAGACATTGTTGGAGTTATCAAATATAGGAAACATATCAGAGGAAATAAAATGCAAAATACTTTTGCCGACATTTTTCAAATCTTTGCAAATGTAATTCAAGACAAATCTATTGAGATCGAATCAACTTTGATGAATTTGGACAATTTCCGATGGTATTTTATACTGTTTTCGGTGTGTCTAATTTTTATTTACAAATTCAAGTCCTTCGATGACAAAAGATATAAAATGCAATTTTTTTTTCGTTATCGTTTTAGACCTATATATGAGAACATAGTAATATTTGCATATACGACATGAAATTTGGCTGAAAATATTATGCTTTTACTTTTACAAAACAAGGTGATTGAAGGGTTTTATTAGTTTTTGGTACATATTGAAATCCATTTATTTGAGTTTCCAAATCGGTGTCAATGCTAAATATTCTCTAGAAAATTAAGAATTGACTTATAGCGAATATTTTGCGAAAATGTCATCTTATTACTGGAGTCATAATATATTTTCATTGCTAAAATAGCAATAATGCTGATGTAATGAAAATATTATATCGAACAAATGACCATGGTTGTGGCATTGAAAGTTCAGAATAAAATATGAATTTTATCATGTGATAAGGTAAATTAAAAAAAGAAGCATTTATTATTTTTTTCATTAAAATATAACCTTCCATACAAGATATTAAAAAATCGATTGATGTTATATTATGCAATATGCATCGCGGGATAAATTTAAATAATTTATTATTTTTTATTTTCTCTTCGAATCCCCATAATCCAGCAATATTTATATTTTTTTTACCTCATAACAATACGTTTTTTGCTATATTCCTCCAGAGTTTTTATAATATTTTTCAGTTTCACAATCAGTCTACTCTATATACCAAGTTAGCAAAATAGTCAAGTGACAACGAACTATGCCCTTAAAGTTGGAAAACGTTTGTCATTTCTCAAATATCCTGAAATTTTGTTTTTTGAACATCTTTTCCAATATTCGACCTATCTACATTAATCTCTTTCATTTATTTTTTAAACTTTTCATTCAATTGATCGAAATCAGTTTTCATAGAACCCAAAGTACTTTTGACTTTTTCCATATGTTTCACGTCGGTTAGATTACGTAACCAATTTTTGAACGAACTTTCATAGTCAATATTGTCTGCCATCTTGGGCGATTTGTGAACAATTTTCGAACGAAATTTTAAATATTGTTTGCTAAAATCGTCCCTTTTTAAATTAACCTTTTCAATAAATTCCACGCGCAAAAATCTATGAACAAAATATCCGTCTACTGTCATATATCCTGGAATTTTATCAACTAACATTTCTCTTGTTTTCGTGTTAACAAAGTCCTCCAAAAATGGGAAGAGGACTCAATTTCTTCAATATCGTCGGTAATGCCAAGTACGTAGGCGACTATTTAAGTTTCTTCAATATGTATGTTTTAGTATTGCCCGATGCAAACCATTGTCATATTCGTTAAGTTTAACATTTTGTAGCATAAACGTTCTCAGAACGTTTTGTCATTCGATCGTTATTTGTATTGTTTACCGTAACATGTAAATTGCGTCTCAGCCAAAAAATGAATTTTACTCGTGAAAATTTTCGAGCGATTATTTTTTTCCACTTTCGATTGGGTGTATCACAACAACAGTGTTTTGATCAACTTCATTTGGCCTTTGGCGATGAAGTACCAAGTCTTCGGACAATTTATAATTGGTACAACGAATTCAAGCGCGGTCGCCTATCGCTCATCGACGAGTTCCGCGAAGGTCGTCCAAAATCAGTTGTTGTACCAGAAAACATCGATGCTGTCAGAAATATGATAATGGAAGATCGTCATGTAACATATCACGAGATTGAGGCATCCCTGGGCATTAGTGCGACCAGCGTATTTAAGATTTTACATGAACATTTAGCTGTCAGAAAGATTTGCTCTCGTTGGATACCACATAATTTGACAATCGCTCAAAAAAAGGCTCGTGTCGATTGGTGTAAACAAATGCTCAAGAAATTCAATCGTGGTGTTTCAAAATCCGTGTATTTTATCGTCACTGGTGGCAAATCATGGATCTACGCGTATGAGCCCGAAACTAAACAGCAGTCGACTGTATGGGTCTTTCAAAGTGAAGATAACCCAACAAAAGTTGTTCGAGCTCGAAGTGTTGCGAAGCAAATGGTCGCCTGTTTTTTCGCGATAAGTGGTCATGTGGCAACAGTTCCACTAGAGGCTCGTAAGACCGTCAATTCTGATTGGTACACCACCATTTGTTTGCCCGAAGTGTTTGATGAAATAAGAAAAAACAACCGCCGTCGCAAAATAATTCTTCATCATGATAATGCGAGCTCTCACACATCTCATCAAACAGTCGATTATTTGACCGGTCAAAAGATCGATTTAATGGGTCATCCGCCGTACAGTCCTGATTTGGCACCCAACGATTTCTTTTTATTCCCGAGCGTGAAGAATAAACTGCGTGGTCAACGATTTTCATCGCCCGAAGAAGCAGTTGATGCGTTCAAAACACACGTTTTGGAGATATCACTTTCGGAGTGGCATGAATGCAAGTGTATTGATCATCATGGCGAATATTTTGAAAAACAATAAAACCATTTTCGATGAAACCCCATTGTCTTATATATGTTTTTGAAAAAACTTAAATAGTGACCCTCGTATGAAGCTTAATTTTAATTTTATTTTGATTCCCCAACTGCTAGCCTTGGTATCAAATGTGTCGAGTAAGCCAGAGAATGCCACACCATCCTTACAGTTGATCGACTTTTCGAGAACAAAACAAACATATACAGGGGGAGGGAAAAGTTTCTAGCCTAGCATATAAGAGAAGTGTTTTCAAATCATTCTTGTGCTGTAATTGAGTTATGAACCTTCAAATGTGTCGTCACAAAAAATTAGGTTGATATCTCTTATTGAGAGTTTTCTACGTTAGTCAATTGGTCATCACCTCGAAATCCTTGGAAATTTTTATAAAATCGAGCACCGCATTTTTCTATTGAGACATTTTTCATATTTGAAAAGTGGAAATACTAGCTAGAGGCCGGCCCCAATAAATGCAATAGATGGTGAATTTGAATCAAGATTCAGGTGGTGACAATGCTTTTCCAAATATTCACTTGCGAGCTGTCATGCGAAGACAAATTTTCTCGTCAGAAGAAAACAATATTTTACTTCTACTGCATAACGCAATCCATACATCTATTGAGCGTGGTACAGACCCAAGACCATAGTATTTTTGGTGACAAGCCAATCATTAATATACCATTTGTATCCCAGAAACGAAAGTCATATGTTGGAAATCATCTGTTTGGAGGCGACTTTCTATTGACGCCTTGCCACCACTGTATAATAATACATTCTCATCGCCTTGGTCTTTGATTTGTAGTACTAGAACCAGGCTTCATTACCAACTACTATTGATTTATTCGCTACATTCAGATAATATATTGAACTAACTGGTCAGTTGAGCTGACAGTACGTTAGCCAGCTAAATGAGCTAAAACAATAGACGTTATTGTTTTAATGATGAATCACTTGACTTGTTTTAATAGAAGTGATTGTTCATTATAACAATAACTTCTATTGTTTTAGTCCATTTAGCTGGCTAACGTGCTGTCAGCTCAACTGACCAGTTAGTTCAATGTATTGTCTGGCTACATTCCAGAAGCTTGAGTAATCAATCACAAAGAGAAATGTGATCATCTGTCAAAAAAATATCAAAGGCTTTTCGAATGATCGAGAACAAACGTTCTCCAAGTAACGTTTTTCGTGTGATATATTGAAGACACTTTCTGCTGTGATGCTGAGGGTCGCAGCTAACGTACTGTTGGGCATTTGAAATATTTCATGAACTACACTTGGATTTTGGCCATCAGATCTAGAACTGTTTTCACTATTGTCACAAAAGTGTGAGAGTCAACATTCATCAAGTCTCTGCACAACTATTAAGATTTTTCTTATTCTTTGACTATGGTATACGATGGAGAAGAGTGACCATAAATTACACGCAAGAAGTGATTGAAATGGTTTGATGCTATACAATCTTTTGTGAGATACCTAATCTCAACATGATTTTGGATTTTTTCAGTTTTTAAAAAAATATCAAAATGACTAAATGTCAAATGTTGAACTTAACAAATGAAGAGAGATATGAACTCATTTTTTGTGGAAATACTGTTGACAGTTCATACCTCAATTACAGCACAAGAATGATTTGAAAACACTTCTCTTTATATGCTAGGCTAGAATTCAGTCAGATATTTTAGCAGCTAAATAAATATATTTCGATTTTGTTATAATAACGATTGGTGGTAACAAGGTGTTTCTATGAATTTGGACATCAAAAATACTAAAATATTTGTCTAAATTCAGAGTTTAATGCTGGTGTGACAAATGTTTGTTGCCTCAAAATCAAAATGTTCTATTTAACTGCTAAAATACCTAGTAAAATACCTAGCTGGATTCATTAGTGTTGAAGATGTTAGTTGATGATATGCCCTGATAATTTTTGCACTCGCTAAGTTTTTCGAAAAAAATTGAACATTTGCTTGTGACAATGACGAAAAACAGTGATTTAAACAAAAAAAATATATTTTCATATATTAAAAATATCCATTTTTATTGGCGTATACTGAAGACATTTTTACAAAAATGTGTTTAAGTTAAGTGTTACAAAAATTTACTTTGAAAATATCATGAAAATTGAAATCCACTCATTTTCAGAAATATCGCTCTTAAATCCAGCAATAGAATGAATGGGTTCTTGAGTTTCATCATATTTTCAGTACTGTCGGCAGCAAAACGATGCCATGAAATCTCTACCCATCTATTTGAAGAAAAGTCACGGAATAAAGTCATGGATTGAGTCTAATACAATAAAAAAATTAAATCCTTATTACCACCACCATCGCCACTGTCGCCTCCACCACCACCTAAAACCGAAAAAACATTAAAGGATACAGTGCACCTTTTATTGATAATCAGTAAGATTTCCATTCAAATAAAACTAACCTGCAGCCTTTCCACCCGCCGGTTTTGCTCTGAAATTGAAAATGTATCACTTTTTATAATTTTAAATTCGATAAAAATAAATATACTCACGGTCCAAACTGTGGCATGGCAACGCTATGAATATAAAAAGAAAATTTGATCAAATCAAGTTTGTTTATTTCGAGAGAGTCATACTCACTGCATTGAACCGGTAAACCCATTCCCAACTGGGCCGTATCCACTATGAGTGTAATTTTTCAGATAGTCCAGCATATTTTTCATGCCACTCGCGAAACCAGGATCGTTGCTCCAGCCACCATAAGTACTACTCACCATTTGAGACATTGTTGGAGTTATCAAATATAGGAAACATATCAGAGGAAATAAAATGCAAAATACTTTTGCCGACATTTTTCAAATCTTTGTAAATGTAATTCAAGACAAATCTATTGAGATCGAATCAACTTTGATGAATTTGAACATTTTCCGATGACATTTTATACTGTTTTCGGTGTGTCTAATTTTTAATTACAAATTCAAGTCCTTCAATGACAAAAGATATTAAATGCAATTGCAATATGTTGGCGTTTCAGCATTGACCTATATATGAGAATCGACGAATGACGCAACAGTAATAATCGCATATGCGAAATGAAATTTGTAAAATGAATTAATAACTGTTCAGCTTCATTGCTAGATATTAAC